GTGAGCATCGCTTTAATGAGGCGCACCGTTGGGGCACATCTAACAAGGTTGCTCAATTTCAAGAGGAGACCATCCCTCCAGACAGTATCGTACGCCGCTGTGAGGTCTATAAATGCAGTGGCGGTCTTTCTCTTGTGTTGATACCCGGCCTCGATGTGTGACGTAAGTGCTAACACTTGATCACAACAACTACGGCCGGGCCTGAAACCAGCCTGTTCCGGAGGGATTGCGCTCTCCAGGATGGGGACCAGCCGGGTTAGCATCGCCCGCTCAAGCAACTTGTAGGTTGTTGAGAGGAGTGATATTGGCCGATAGCTCTTTGGGTCGTCTGCTGGTTTGCCTGGTTTAAGAAGGGCGATGACCTTTGCCCTTCGCCATATTTTCGGTAGTTTTCCTGAGTTAAGGATGTTGCTGAATAGTTTCGCGTTGACTATAAGGTATAACGGGGGGGATAGTGGCAGCCTTCTCGTGGCCCTCCCCGTTAAGCGAACCTGACGATTACCTGGTAATCGCTCAAAACGCGAACTAATGCCCCTACATCGGAGACTGAACGCCGTTTCCCGGCCTCTCAGTCACAATGGCGACCGCGCAAAACGTTGGCCAAAAGGTCCTCATCAGGGCCAGCTGAATCGCCAAGTGGGCCCAGCAATTCGGCTATGCCAACTAAATGTGGAGAACCTATCCCGATCCAAAGGAGAAGTCATTGCGAGACTCATGCAGGAAAACAACATCGATGTCCTGCTCCTACAAGAGACGCACGTGGCACAAGAACATGTGCAGCGACTCCAGATTCCTGGACTCGACCTTCTTTCCAGCCGATGCCACCCGAAACATGGCCTGGCCACTTACACCAGGCCAACCATGCAGGACATCGTCGAAGACATCCCAACACCTGAAGACGGTTACGCCATCGCTGTGAGCATCGGGAAACTGGTGGTTTATAATGTTTAAAAACCATTGTAACTGGCGATGAAACATGGTGTTTTCAATATGAGCCACTCACGTAGCGCCAGAGCTCAGTTTGGAAGACTCCAGAAGGACCAACACCAAAAAATGTGCGCATGCAGAAGTCAAAAGTGAAAGCATTGCTAATCACTTTCTTTGATTCGGCTGGGATTATCCACAAGGAGTTCGTTCCAGAAGGCCAGACGGTAAATGGCGAATACTATCTCCCCGTTATGAAGCGTTTGCTGGCCAGAATTGCTCGGGTCCGTCCTCGATACCAAGCACCAGGCAGCTGGTCTCTCCTCCACAACGATGCTCCGTCTCACAGGTCCATCATTGTGCGGAACTTTTTGGCCTCAAAAGGAGTCGTAGTGCTTGACCACCCACCCTATTCGCCTGATTTGGCACCCTGTGATTATTTCCTTTTCTCCAAACTAAAAATGAAGCCAAAAGGAAAGCGTTTCGACACGATTTTGGACATCCAAAAGGCTTCGGTGCAAAGCCTGTATTTCTTCGGAAAGGACGTATTTTGAATAATCAATAATAAAAATTATAAATATCACATGGGAAATTGATTTGTAACTGAAGTTTGGATACTTTTGGGACAGACCTTGTATATCTTGCCTCTCTTACAGAGTATGTATTCTTCACTTTTAGAATGTGATGCATTAGTAATCCAAGATGAGGTTTCTCTTATTGTATGGTGCTTACGATAGAAATGTTCATCCATCCGTCGGGAGCACTAAGGATTTGGTGGGTGAGTAAGGTGAAATTTCTTAGAAATATCTCATGATTCTCAACATCCATATCTCCTTCGCCCAAGATATCGATAAATCTTTCAAACAACGGTCCAAGGAAGTCCACAATATCTTCGATCTCTTCCCCCGACAACTCCTCTTCCTCTTCAACGGCCGTGTTCAAATCGGATAGTAAGTCCAGAGAACTTGAATTGTTCAGCTAAGATGGTTGAGAAACATATGACTGCAGCGGTAACAATTTCTGCGGAAGTGAAGAGATTCCAGCAACCTGTGAAACTTACCGCACCCCAAAGATCTTCAATCAAACCACTTAAAGATTGACAAGAGTCAAAGAACAAATCGTATCCATATTCGGTGCAGTTGTAAAGCTGGATTCCATGCTGGTCTTCTGGACAAGGCCTTGAAGTCACGTCGCCCTCGAAGGGTTCATCGCCGCAGCTGCGAACTGAAAATGTTTTTCGCGAAGCATACAGATCAAGGACATAAGGTAAAGTTAGAAAAAGGGATTCCATGCAAGTACTTGTATCGAAATATAGATACAAGTTAATGAAAGAACTCTCCATAAAGTCAATATAGTCTACAATAGGGGTTTCCAACTGGCGTCCCGCAGGCCATATCCGACCTGCTAATTCATTTTCTCAGTTCCGCGAATTCCTCTTAAACAGTTGATTTCGGAAAATTGCTGTAAATTTCACTTGTTCGCATTGAAAGTGTGGTGTGTGTTGTGTGATTTGTTAGTGAGGCCCCCAAACATACTCGAACCAAATCATTTGATCCCCGCCAAATTGAGTTGGACACATGGTCTACACGGAATTATTGCGTTAAAATTCTGAAATGGATAATGTGGTGTATGTGCCTGCTATTAATATTATTCACTTCTACATTTTTGTAGATTTATATGCAAACAAGAGTGTGTCGACCATAGGCAGCAATGGAACCAAGACACCAATGGAACACTAAACAACGCACTGACAATTGTTACTTGGTGATCCCCATGTTAGAAGTGGCGTCACTAAGAATGATGTAATCATTTTTTTTAAGACACCTTCATTTTAAAAGTGCGTGAGCCAAAGGTGCGAGAATTGGACCCGTCAATAAAGGAGTTTGACCGCTTTACTTAGGATGAGCATCGAAAACGGATGCTTTAAATAAATTAGTAATGTCCATAGATCACAGAGGGCCGATGGCGCGTCAATAGCGAGTTAGTTTTCCCGAAGGCAAAATAAATCGCTAGTCATAGGTATTATCGCTTGTAACTTTGGTCTGAATTAATTCATTGTTGCAGCCTCGTTGACTTTCAAATAAATGGAACCATGTTATATCCACAGAAAATTTGGCAATAAGCATGATACAAAGTTCTCGATCTATTCTGCCATAACCTACAGACACAGATTGACAAAACGAGAGAAATTCTAAATAAAAGTTGAGAAATCAAAGACAGATAGAGAGATGAAGCTGACTGAGGAATATACAGGTAGGACCATCATTAGGGCGTTGAAGCGAGAAATGAGGTCTGCGAGACAGGAGGTCGAGGAACAGTAGGCTAGCGATGCTAAGGAAAATCCCAAGGCATTGGTATTATTGGTATTCTCGTTTTAGGTGTCAACAGTCGATCGGGCCTCTAATGAACAACAGTTGAGAACATTGAGTTCTCTGGAAAAGGGCCTTATGTGCCCATACGCCTTTTCCCCATACCAGTGTTCAGGCGCTGCTTTAGGATAGTCATAGGATAGGGTGGTCAGCAAGTACTTATGATGCATATTCAGCAAAGGAGAACAAGAGTTTCCTATGCTCTCACTATATAAGCAGGCCAACTACCTGACAATTTCAATATAGCTGCCTCCATGATTATTCCATTAGCACTTACATGGTGTACGATTTTGCGGAATTATTTCGTCCGTTTAAACTGAAAGCGAAAATGAGGAAGAAACCATACATGAGGAAAGGGAAAGAAAGAGGCCCAGTCATTCAAGCCTCTGGAAGGATGAGAGAAGTTGGAGATATCCATGAAATAGCTGCAGATTCAGATTATGAAAGCATTAATAATGGATCACTGCTGAGTAATTGGTGAACGAAACGCTTCTTTCGGGAATATTCGCATTTTCATTATTGTTCTTTAAGAAAAAGTTTATTTGAAATATGTTGATGCATTTACTGATTAATTATTATTTTTAACTTGTAAGAAGTGGTGAAAGACTTGTTGGAAAAAGCTTCAGCAGCGCGGATATGGAAAAAGGGCGTATTTGCATAAACACTTTCTGCCTGCTTCACAGCAATGTGAGATAAATAAATTTATCAAAACCTCAAGTCCAATTTCAAAAGAAAGTGTAAGATACCAGTTTACTGATAATTAAGTTTCGACAAGCTTCAGATTAGCTATGGGAAGTTTTTATCATCCATCTTGAATTGTATCCTTTGCACAAACGCCCTTTTTCTAGAGAACTCCTCAATTATAAGTGATAAGGATTTGACCGGGATGCTTGACGAGTTTTTACCTCCCATGTTCACTGTCGAATCCAACGATGCACGAATTTGGAAGAGGTCACCTCCGCACGCATTGCGGATATTTCCATCACCGAGGAGACGATCATGAGTATGATAAGGAAGTTAAAGGTGGGTAAGGAGACCGACCCCAATGCGATTCCTGCTCGAGTCTTCAAGAAACTCGCGAGGAAATATCGTTTGCGCTAAGAATCATATTTCAAAGCACCTTTTCGTGCGGTGAAGTACTTAAAGACTAGAAGGCAGAGAACGTCGTACTGATCTTTAAGAAGGGTGAAAAGAGTATTCCGGGGAAGAGCATGAAGAGCATCCTGAGGCACCACATTTTGGATTTTCTCTAAGGCAATGCGCTCATCCTCTCAGCATGGCTTCAGGAGGCGTTCAAATTCTCTGGCCAATTTGCTCCAATTATACTATTGGACGACGGAGAGATAAGGGGAATCCCGTGGACATCGTCTATTTATAATTCGCGAAAGCTTTTGATACCGTTTCTCACAAAAGGTTGCGGGTTAGACTGGAGGCGCACGGAATCAAGGGTAGGACAAGCGAGTGGATCAGTAACAGTGACGGGAAGGGAACACCTATTAATGGTAAATGGGAAAGCGTCGACGAAGGTCGGGGTCCCAAGCGGTGTCCCTCGGGACTCTATCCTGGGACCGCTTCTGTTTCTGGTCTACAATAATGATTTCGATCTAGGCGTAGAGTAAATTTGTCGACGACACCAAAATAGTTTTTTATATAAGGGGGGAGGCGGGTAGGGCTAGAGCCGAGTGATATTTGAGGCATTTGGATGAGTGGAGCAAGAAATGGCTCATGAGGTTTAATAAAAGTAAGTGTAAAGTTCTCTACGTTGGTCGAAATAACGGTAGATCTCTCAACGCGTTTGGCGTAGATAAACTAGGGGAGGCAAACGGAGAGGAAGATTTAGGAGTTACTATCGACGAGACGAAGGCCTCATGTTTCCCTTGCACGCGCAAGCGACGGTAGCGAAATGTAAGAGGAATCTAGGACGCATCGGTCGCTCGGTTGCCAGTAGGAACTCGCCCGTTATTTTTCCAGAATGTTCTATACGGAGGCGCTATTGCAAGTTTAGCTAACTTTTGGGTACCAGTTCTGTGGAATGATGAAAATAGCCTCAGTTTTTTTTGTTGCTTACCCTATACCTATTGGGATGTTGAGTTCCGAAAAATTCAGACTTTTCAGGTAAATCCCCTGTATCTATCAATTCAAGGGTATCCCCTTGAACTGTTTGCTTTTGTCTGGGATATCTGGGTTTCTGACGACAGGGAGAAGAGACAATCAATATAACAAGGAATAGTAGTAATGGTGGAGTAATGGGAAATGATGGAGACAAGCCGTAGCCACCCGAGGCAAAGCCGGAGCAAAACAAATATTCATTAATATAATCAATGTATATAATATAGCTTAAAATTCTACTATTATTGCCGCAAAAAGTCACGATTCGCAAAGCCTCCTCCCGCTGAGGGGCCTGCGAGCTTCAGTTGTCTTCGCGCAGACGATGTTCGACAACATGCAGTGGTGTTTGAAGATTCGTACACCATTTTCCAATAACATTCGAGAACTGGAGAATTTCCTTCCATGATTTTTCTAGTTATTGACCTCATTTTATTTGCCGTATTTTCTTCTCTATGATTATCCTAAAGCCTGAATTATCACCAACGATTCGACAACTGTGCAGACCTACAGACTCAACATGTTGCGGATCGTCAGGAATTTTTGTATTTTTCCCGTTCTCCACAATAGGGGGTTATGAATTAAATCCGGAAACAGTGCAGTTGACTCGTACTGTAGGGCGTGTGTTGTCAAATCATACGTTGAGGAATATGTACGCCAGTATGAAAGAGTTATACAGATCCACTTGCCGACCCCTGGAAGACATCCTCGAACTTCTGGTTCACCTAGGCCAGGTGTGTCAAGCTGCTGGCCCGCTAGTATTGTCTGGCCTGAAAAGTCCTCTTCAACAGTTGGGTTTGGGAATTCGAAGAAAATGTCTAATTTTTTTTAGCCAATTGAGACTTTGGCGTAAGATTTGCATTATGAGAATCCACCCACCCGAGAAGGATTCCATCCAGCCTCCAGCCTAATCAAGCTTGGCATCCCTGGCCTTGGATAAGCATGTAACAGTGTCGGGAATTCATGAGTACAGTCAGCGGCCGTTTGAACACTCTATGCGGCAACCGCTCTCTCCCGTTCTCAAGGACGGACCAGCAAGTCGCGAAGGCTCGAAAGAAGCTGCGAGTTCGAGAGTGAGACGGAGACCCTAACCCCGATGGAAGACATCTACGAACTCCGGCTCGGCCGAGGCTAGAGATCTAAAATTACAGGTAAAGTGGAGACCATTACTTACCGGTAATTTACAAGTAATTTACCGGTAATTACCCGTATTTTACCGATGTATCACCACTAGGTTACCGGTACACCAAAAGTGCAATATTACATTTTTTTGTAATTTTCAATATCTTTTGGAAGCCAGAAGTCCCTTTTTGTAAGGGTGGAGAATACATTATGCAATACTTCCCTCCTATAATCTACGCTCATGAGGCATATTTCAAAAGTAGGATTTTTCCCGTACTCAGCCATAAAACAGGTACTTCTGAGTGAATTTTAAATTTTCTGTTTCTGTTTCGTTGGATCGAAAAATAATTCACGAAAATAGGACTTAAAAAAAAGTTTCCTGATTTTTTAAAACGAATATTTATTTTTATTCTGAAATATAGACTTAGGGAACTCCATGCCACCCAGTATCAGCCTTATACGTTTTCCCTTTTTGCTGGCGGGAAAAAATATATTTGGAAAAGCAACTCACCCAAAAGCTGTGCTCTGGGGAGACGCTCAGCAAAAGTTGAATTTTTCCTTAAATCAACATCACGTCCGTTATGCGTGCGCCAGCTGCTATTTTTCTATTTGTGCCTGATTCGCTAGCATATATAAAAAAATTCTTTGAAAACGTTACGTCCCCAAGAAATATGCCCCCCAAAAATATTTTGAAAATTTGACATTTCAGCTGAGTGCTTCGCCTGTCACGTTCTTGCCATGTTACAGCTTTCCATGGGTCTCCCTTTGATTGAAGCAAAGAGAAGTATTTGAAAATATGTTCCCCGAAAAGGGGTGCCCCTATGGCGTGTATTACCAAAGTGGAATTTTTCCTAAACTCAGGATGTGAATAGCTACTTATGTTAGTCAGTCAGCTGCTCACGATCGTCTATATATGTTAGATGAAAGTATAATTTTTTCTTTACTCAGCTATTCATCAGGTACTTCTTTGCCAAGTTTAAACTTTCTACCACCCTCCGTTTTGCTGGATCAGAAAATTTATGAAATTTTGGAATATATCTGCCCTCGGGTGTTTTCACCGAAAAGTACCATTTTTACCGAAATCAAACCTCAGTGAACTACATGCCCAAAAGTTTCAATATTATACGTTTGCCCTTTTCGCTGGTGAATAATCATGTTTGGAAAAGCCGACCCACCCAAAAGCTATGCCCGGAGGAGGAGGTACATGCCCTGGGGGTACACATTTTGGGGGGAGAAGTTTTAAAAAAATATATATCGTGATGGATAAGGATGTCATCGAGTGAAGCCATTGTATGTCACCGTTTCGGTGGCGTAGTGGTAGCACATCGGACCGGTAATCGTGAGGCCAGGGTTCAATTCCTGACCATTCCATGCCATTTTTAAATTTCGCTTGCCTTCCATGTCCCGTTGCTTCAATAAAACGGAGAGACATGGAAAGCTGAAACGTGGCATGGAAGTTCCTACCGACACGATGAGTTCAGGAGAAATGCAAACTTTTACATCCATGCCCTGGGGGCATATTTTTGGGGGCCGACGTTTTCAAGTATTTTTTTTTTGTCCTGGTGTATTGAGCTAGTGTGGAAAGACGAAACTTGGTACATATCTACCTATTGGGATGCTGCGTGCAGAAAAATTCAGAATTTGGAATGAAATGCCCTGGGGCATGAATTTCAAAGGGAGAATGTTTTCACATAATTTTTTTCCATTAGATAAACCGATGGACGTGGAAAGCTGGAACTTTGCAATGAATGTGACTACCAAGATAAGGAGTTAAAGAAAAATGTTGTCTTGATACATCCCCGGGGGAAATTTTCTCGAGGGGCGATGTTTCAAAAGAAAGAAATTGTCATGGCGCATTGGACAGAATGTTAGATGCCGACCGGTTCCTGCCCTTCTCGAACTTCCGGTCTTCATTAATATATCGGTCACTAATCAGGCGCACTTCCAAATGGCTGGGAAAAAAGTAAAAACGGAAAAAATAGTCATGGTGAGGGAAGGACTCGTTTAATTACGTTGGGCATTGATTTGCGCGTGCATGCAACATCCGAAGCTACCGGGAAAAACGGAGTTCACCAGAGACGAGCTAGCCAACCAAAATCGTTCTGACTCCAGTCTGAGGGTCAGGGCTATTTCATGAAAATACAGTCCTAGTCGGAACTGGCAGGCCACTCATTCCTTTCTGAGACATTTAAGTATTTTCTTTTCATGAGGTTGGATTGAAAAGTAATCTTTTTTTTTCCCAGGTGTTCTATCCACGACAAAAGACTCTGCAGGGTAGGCATTCCCATTAAGAGCGGGGTCAGTTTTGACAAATGAAAGTGTGCTTGATACTGCGTGAAACAGGTAGCAAGAAAAAAATCCTCGGTCGTCACTTCGATCCACCATCATACTTTCATTCGTCCTAGACCGTGAGTGATTAAAAAAATAATACGCTTAGGTCTCATAGCCGCCAACATATTTATTGCGGATTTGAACAGGAAAAACACATTCAATGCGAATCCCAGTCAATAATTCCAGCTGGTGGTTCCAGTCTGTATCAGAAAGCTGGATCCAGCTAAGTTCCAGCTGATCATCTTAGATGGTTCCATCTGTAAATTTGGACCTTTTCCATATCGTTCCCAGATGGAAACCTAACAGGTTTCCAGCTGGAAACTGTAGTGTCTTAGCTGGTAAACTACTTGATC